GCGCCAGGAAAAAAAACAAAAACCCCCCAACCCCCCCCCCCCCATTTTTCTTCTATTCCATTAACAACAGCTTACTGTATATGTCCCTCTTTTCCCTTGACAGGCTAAGGAGGAAGAGCTGAAGAAGCTGAGACCATCAGTATAGGTCCACATCAGCACAATGCAACCAGCAAAGACATGGAGTTGCTTCCATCAACCAAACCTCTGCCATCTGGCTCCAGATAAAACAACTACATGAGTTAGAGATCCCAAGAAGTTACAAAGAGTAATGTCTTACCCCAACGCCCAAGTTTCTGGAAAGGAAGCCATCTTTCTTTCTTCTAATTTTTCATTAATACGTAAAAGTATGTGTGGGGAGGTGGGAGACCACCACCTGGTATACCAGTGTCCTGAAGCAAATGCTAACCTAGCACTGAATTAGATTCTTTTGAGTTAAAACAAGATGTTAATCAAAAGCTGCTGTTGTGTATAGTTGAATCACCCACCATGTGTGTTAAGTGTATGTAAAGAGTAAAAAGGCAGCGTGAAATTAAAACCGTCACTTGATAGCTCGCAACAACTGTGATACTGAGGAAGAAGTGGTGAAGTGGGGCTGCTGCAAGCCCTTGGAAATGTACTTTATGCGAAATCAAAGGATTTCACCAGCTGCACTGGGCAACTCCTCTGGGCAAAGATCTAAGACCAGAATGGATATTTAGGCTGCTTACAGAAGTTAAACACAAAAAACAAAACAAAAATGTGCTTTGCTTTTAGCTCTGCATGCCCCTGTACCAAGCCCAGTGCATGCCCAGAAGAGACAGTGCATTAGTTGGACCCAGTTAGCCCAACATCTGTATAGATCAGTTGCTTTAGTGTCGCTTTTTTGGTGCTTTTATCTAGTTGCTGATTAAATCAGCTATTACATATAAATGCCAAAAGGTCCTGCTGAAGCGCCCAATCTATTATACAATTCCTGCACAGCTAGGCTGAAGTAACACGCTGCTTCTTCAGGTAAAGAACAGGTTTTTTTGCTTAACGTTTGCAAGCAGCCTTAGGTCCCAATGGCAAAACACCTACGCTCTTCATCAGCTAACTCAATATACTGTATTAACTAGAACCCAGGTTGGGCTCTTAAGATAAGGGAATTTGGATCCTCCTTGAATTCTTTCATTTTATAAGACTAGATTCCTTTAGATATCAACTTCATATTCCAATTTGAACTGCTTGTTCTTAACTTGAGGATTTGATCATTAGAACCTATAGATTTATAGATCCAAATCGCAACTGACAGCCATTTGAAAAACAAAAGCGGTCCATCTTTAATTTAGTACAGTTTGACTCGCTAATTAACTTAAGAACTGCTAAGGCATGTATATTCACTTGCTTACCATTTTCAATGTACTCCATAAAAAGTACAAAGAACTCATTTATTCCGTCAAAGTGCAACATTATGTATGAACAAAGAGCCTTGTGTGAGAAATTTTCACATCACTTTGCTTTGAGGGATTTAGGTATTTTATTTGGAAGCAAACTAGAGATATCAAGCATGTTTATAACAAATTTTGGATTATTTATTTTATTCTATATCAGAGGTGTTCAACCTGTTGGCCCTGCGGGCCAAATGAGTGGGGCAAAGCCAGATCAAGCCCCGTGAAACCACATTGGGCCGCAAGGCCCAGCACCACCCTCTCCCACCGAGTTTAGTCCCTGGGGAGGATGGCACCAACTCCTCCTACCCCAACACACTGGGATTGGGTCCTGGGGGCCTGGCACCACCCCTGTATATTAGGTTCAACCACCTGATCCAGCATGCAGGGGCCAGGGCTTCCCATGGATCCAGAAATTTAGTGGTAGGGGAGTGGTGCCACTCCTCTCCCACTGAAATTTCTGGACCCATGGGGAACCTGGCAGGCTGGATGACATGGGGCTATGGGCTGGATCTGGCCTGCAGGAGGGGATTTAAGCACATCTGTTTCTCTCTCTCTGTCACTGAATATTTGAAGTAAAATAACTGTAACCAATACTTACTTTGAAGAGAAGCCACGCTGCCGACTGCTTGAGAAAACCCGGTTTACAATAGGTTCTCGAATACTGAAAAACATCTTTGGTTCTTCTGGACTATAGAGCAGGGACTCATTATATTCATTTGTTACTGTAAATATAGAAATTGGACCATCATTCTCTCCAGAGCAGTTAGTCATTCTTTAAGAGATACTGTCCCTCTGCTTGGGAAATGTATAAACTACATTTAGATACCTAATATTTAAGCTAGTTAAAAAAAGTGTACAGTTCAAATAACATTTTCAACTTTACAGGAAGAGACATTTCCCTGACTAGTCACTGACTAACTCTCAACTTAGATTCATTTTCAAAGTAGAGCAGAACCCAGCAGTTTTCAGGGTTAGGTTTCCAATCCCCCTGTGCAGAGAAGGGCCTATAAATCAGACAAGCAATACAGAGTGGTGTAGGATCACTGCAGCTTTTATTCAAAGAATGCCACTTCTCTGATCAGATTTGTTACTGGTCTACAGCAGAGTGGAGAAGCACCCTCTAAAGCAGGGCTGTCCAACTAGCAGCTCAGGGGCTGCACACAACCCACAAAGATTTTATGTGCAGCCCCAGGCTCCTACCCATCTGCTGCCTCCCTGTTACCTCTGGCTGCTGCTGCAGCTGAGGTCTCTAGGCTCCCCACACCACCACCAGCTTTTGCTTCCTACTCCCATCCTAGGGAGTAGAGTGGGGCAGCCCATGGTGCCAGGGAAAACATGGCATGGTGCCCTATGTATGTGTGCGTGGGGTGAGGGTGGGGGCCATACATGAAGTGCCTGGAGGAGGGGGGCATGCTGCAGCCTGCGACTCGCATTACTGCAGTCCCCATTGGTGCAACTTGCACGGCACGCTCTAAAATAATAGCTGCAGGAAACAACTGAGCAACCTGCTGAGAACTAACCAGGCTGTGAAAAACCTGAGCCAGGTTCTAGGGGTGTGTGAAGTGGGACATATTAGATTTAGATTCAGCCTGATTCGGGGGACAGTTATTCAATTCGCTGATTCGGATTGGTGTCGCAATTCAATTCAGCTGAATCTGAATCTCAAGATTTGATGCTGATTTGGAGAATCAGCGATTCAATCATAGACAGCTTTAAATGTTTTTTTCTACGTACCTTGAGGTACCAGGTGAGCTTGTGAACACTGAGATAATGGGGCGGAAGGAGTGTCCTACACGAGTGGGGGGGGGGGGGGGGCCCCCCGGGGCCCCGGGGGGGGACCGGGGAGGGGCCAAAAATATTCCCCCTGGTCCCCG